AAAATTAATGACGTTAAATGACATAAAAAGTATCCTCGTCAACAAGGTTGTAATGATAAAACTGCTGGCAATGATAAATACGTAACCTAATCAAGGTAATTGAAAATAATCATCAGGCAATTAACCAAGGAAATAACAGTTTTATGATCCATGTTCACGTGAACACACATTGTTGGCAGTAATTGTAATTCTTAATCAAACATGCCATTTTAACTCTTTTGGTCATAGAACAACGGAGAAGATGCGTCATCTACTTTGATATGTAGAAATTAAGAATTTTTCATTGAAGAGACATTCTTTCTACGAGTATGCCCTTTCTGAAAATATACGATACATACGTAAATGGGTATCCAAAGAACGATATTATATAGCTCTTCCAAAATTACTCTTAATGGACGCCGTCAAATTGAATAAACAGTTAAACTTTAAATAAAAAATGTTTTTTTCCTTATTAAAGTTTTGTTGGATCGCAATTTTTTTTATACATTAATATAGAAAACCCATTAAAAGATTAATCATTAATAAATTATTAAGGATTAATGTATCTGGGTATTACATTTATTTACAATTAACTGTTGGTTTCTGAGACCAAAATTATTAAACATCTTTCTTTGACAAAAAAGTGAAAACAATTAGTTTTTAACGGGTTTTTCGGTTTTAGAAACTCACGATAAGTCCTTAAACGTAGCACAAAATACAAGTAAACGATGCTTTTATAAATATGTATATAATTATAAGATTCTTAGTATGGCTTATTATTGCGATGGCGATGTCACTGAACAAAAAGTCGACCATGAGAGTTCACGAATATTTAATTAATTACACATTTGAACATTAAATGTAATTAGTTCCTTATTATTTTTAACAAAATTAAAAAAAAAAAAACATCTGTACTGTGTTGTACAGCATTGTAAGAAATCCTTTAAAATTATTTATTTCAGATATTTCTGATGGATGATTTAATAGACAGAAACATAGTATAAGTCGTTAATTATATTTACCTCTTCATAATACATACTAGCTGTCACCCGCGACTACGTCCGCGCGGCATTAAAAAAAAGTAATTAGTAGTCTATGTGTTCTTCCAGACTATGTTCTACGTCTATGTCAAATTTCAGCGAGATCCATACAACTGTTCTGGAGATAAATTCAAACAAACATCCATCCATCCGTCCAAACATTCGCATTTATAATGTTAGTAATATCAGAGATTGAAATATAGTATTCAATATTACAAATCAAACGATTCGAGTAACCTTAACGTATGGTATTCAAACAATATCGAATTAACTCGACTATCAATCATAGTTTTTTGGTGTATTGAATCAGTACTGATATTTCTATTTATATAAAGATCCTATTAGTTTTAGATCTTACTAATATTATAAATGAGAATGTTTGGATGGATGTTTGTTTGTAGGTATCTCCAGGACGGCTGAACGGATCTCGATGAAATTTGGCACACATATAGAATATAGTCTGGACACATAGGCTACTAATTATATTTTTTTAATTCCGCGCGAACGGAGTCGCGAGCGACTGCTAGTAGCTAACAAATTCGTATAGATGTCCGTAAATCTTAACACACTGTTAAACTCAAAGTTTACAGAATAGGTATCGTAATTTATCTAATTCTGTTTACTATAAATAAAATGAGTTTTACTTTGGCCTTAGAATATATACATTTAAAAATATTTTTTTTTAATTTAATAAGCTATCATCTAGCCAGCCATATTCTACTAATGTGAGGTCGGCGCACGTTTTATAAGTAAACATTTTTAGTAAAGTCTATAAATATAATACATACATATTTGTTTCTGTATTATTGTATGTATGAATTGTTTCATAAATAATGTGCAATGATTGCAAATTAAAACACTATTTATTCTAACATATTTTTACCATACAAATCAACGCATTTCTTCCATTAAAGGCATACCTAAGTCAGCTCTAAGCATCATGATATCCTGCTTACTCACAAGCTACTGAGTAATAACTTATTCAGTTAAGCTACGACTAAGTTACATAAGTTATCGTCAGCTGCCAACTTAAATGATTGATGTTTCAATTGAGGCCCCGCGTCTGCGGATAAAGTGGTAATTAAATTCTCATTATTACTTCATTATGTTCGTTTTTGAGCGAAAAAAATCGATATATCGTTAAGTATCTTTGTTGGATTATAACTTTTTTATAAAAACTAATTTATTTAATTTTTATTTTTTTTATTTTATTTTTTTTTATCGCAAACGAGCGAGCGGCCACTTGAAATCGCTGAAGTAGGGAAGTGAAAATATTTTCCCTTCCCATGCATTCTCTCATCCGGAAAGTCCACTTCCACTTTCCATCCTTTCCTTATAAGAAAAAGGGTAGGAAGGGAAAAAGGACTAAATCAGGCCTCCGGGACGCACACTCATCAGACGAAACGCGGAATTGCTTCCACTTCACGCCTGTCTTCTGTGTGGTCGTGGTATTTCACCGGGCGTGCCGGGCCGATTCGTGCGAAGATGTTAAAGCGGGCTCTACCACTGTTGACATATATACATATAAATATTTTTTTTATTATTATTAATGCCATCATGTTGATTTGGACATGTTCCTTTTTTAATAATTCGATTGTTAACTCTATGAAAGTTTGAGAAGCATTTGAAATTTAGTGTATTTGATTTATATCATAAAAAACTGATTCGAACACACGAGCTATTTTAAAACTGTATTATTCAATTGATGTATCGAAAATTGCAGAATCATTACGATACCTTTGGATTGAGCTCTCACTCCGACGCCATCGTGACTCGACAGTTCAATTCAATGGATTAAATAAAGAGTTTTTAGTAGTGAAAATATTTGCAAACTAAAAATCATATCCACTCAAAGATTTCCATTTTCAAAAACAATTTATCTTGAAATTCATCTATTAATTTTTAAGTCTAAAAAAACAACAAAAAAATTACCTAATTATTAATTTGATAGTTAAAATTGTAAGTCACATAGCAAACTCATTTATTGTGTTAAGAAATAAATCTTAAACAATGGTCCGATTTGTTTCTAAAACTTTATAATTATACGTCTATAATTATAAAGAAGAATTAGAGATGTTATCTTATATCTTTAATATCTTATATCTTTAAATGAGCAATTCTTGTATACTATTCTTGTATATTTAATTGGAATCTCGGAATCGGCTCCAACGATTTTTATAAAATTTAGTATACAGGGGGTTTCGGGGGCGATAATTCGATCTAGCTAGGAATCATTTTTAGAAAATGTCATTTTATTCGTGTTTTATCGATAATCAACTTAAACATAAACTTAACTTTTTCTATCGGTAATATTGAAAAATATTATTCATATTTCATCGTTTTATTAGTAATTCGTACTTAAATATAATTTTCAAAAAACACAATTTAAAAAAAAATACCGGTCACCCAGATTTTGCTTATTATCAGCAATCGCGATACAAAAAATTGCATTATGAAAGTTCATTTAAAGTTTGATTGATGATTGATTAAGATAAAAAAATAATATTTTTTTATCTTAAATTGTAATTCAAAATGCTTGTATTTACAATCTTATCAGTGACAAGTATTGTTATAATTAGAAAAAGAAATAACGTAATGGCAGGCAATCATTTTTACGTAGTTATTTGAACAGTATTTCATGATAATGATCATAAAAATTACGTCTCTCTGTAGCAAGAGGTTATTCTGTTAGAAAAAATTGCGTTTTCCTCAATCGCAGAACTGTACATTTATGTTACATTAAAAACATACGGATTAAAAAAAGAACCTTTCATAAGCACTCTTTTTGTGTTATTCATCAATTTAAAGTGATAGGCAACTTACTTTTAAAAGCAAAGTTTTATTTTGATAAATAGATCCTTCTCGAATCGCATGCTTTCTAAACCTACCTATTCATTGTTGTGTAGGTACTCGGTAACCTTTGTTTTTAGATCGTTACGAATATCTTTACGGAAATACTGTTTTAAAAACAAGAACTCATCAAGGAAGTATACTGGGACTGTTTTGTTTATATCGATCGACTCGGCAGATAATGGTGAAGCGTGGGAAATCTGCACAGTTCTTTCTACAATTCATTCTTTATTCAAAAAGGATATGAAAAAAATATTTAAAAATATCAAACTGAGAAAAAGAAGAAAAAACACTAGGTAAGGTAAAACCTAACCTATAAATCGTCAGCCAAATGTCACTCTGACTAACGGAGACTTTCGCACATTCGTTAGAACATCTTAACATTCGTTGGTACCTTCTGTTAATGGCCATAATTTAAGAAAAAAACATTATTTCGGATCCGACATAATTTTTATCCTAAGTATTAAGAGTTGTCAGTTAGATTAGAGAGTTATATTTGGTGGTGTAGGAACGCATTGTGGCGGGTTGGAGCGGCGTCGTGATCATCTCGAGGCGAGTCGCAAACCGCGAGTCGCGAGTCGCGAGATGCTGACCTCAGTGGAACCGGTTGCGTTCGTGCCGCGCAAACTCCGCCACAGATAAAGCTATGACACGTATAATCTAATTCGGCTTTGAATTTGCAATTTAAAGTGGCCATTTATTTTGTAGATAGTAACCGGAGATCGCGGAAGTTCAATACCAACTTAATCAGCTACCGACATCTTTATCGGTTTCATTTTGAAAAATATAAATAAAATATCCCAATATTTCTTATCAAACGTTTTCAATCGACTCTTGATTGATTGATTTACCGTATTTTTCATATCAAAACACCTTTACAAAAAATATTGTTAGCTGTTTTTTTTAAGAAAATAATAAAGACGACAATATTTTTTAAAAAATATTTCGGCAATGGAAACCCACTATAGGGTGTCTTATTTACATCGTTTGAAAAATATTGAAAACTGAACACTTACTCAAAAACTATGAGGAACAGCCCTGGTTGTGACAGGCAATATAAATCTGAAACAAAAATGTTTACT